TCGTAGATAAAAATGCTTTAATCTTTAGGTTCTTAAGAGACAGTAAACTAAAATCTTATGAGCTTCATAGCACCAGTCATTTGCTGTATTTAGTTTGACTTTTAATTTCATTCTGCGGAGATTCCGCCAGACCCCACCATAGACGACATCAAAACCTCGTTTGCATTACTTGCTACCACAGTCGCCGCTATCAGATTTTAATTTCAATTTTCTCGCATCGCGCACTAACGGCGCACTCCTACACTCAAGCGTGACGGACATCGTCCATTATATTATGAGCAGACCTGAATCTGTTGTCATTTCTTGCAAAATGGAATACAATGAATGTTCCTGACACAGTTTCCTTGAAGCGAAGTATCCCACGTGTAAATAACAGCTGAACCAAGAACACTTGACTACAGGATTCCGAAGAAGTTTAAAATAGTATTCTTAGCTATATATTAGGAGCATTATGTAACTTATAATTTTCAAATACAAATTACAACACATTTATTCCTGCGAACAAACGCCAACTGACTTTTGCTGTCAGCAGTCTCGTTATTCCAATATTTGCCTCGTATGTCCATGACAGTAACAGATGGAGTAACTGCACTATACAGGCCTGCAAACCAATATTGTATGACACGTGTAACATTAAAATGAAAGACAGCTAATGTCATGCAGACAACAAGAAATAATGAAAGATTTAAATAGAAACAGAAATTTGTAGCTTAAATGCGTCATATAGAAACAGAAAGTTTGAAGTTTATCAACTAGCAACAATGGTTCACCTACCTACATGTTCGCAAACTCTTTCGTCTGTCTTGGGCCATTTCAACCATAGACGTTACTTAATCGGCTCACAAATAGCCTTACTTTTGCGTCCTTGCACAAGGCGAAGGACTGTGAACAAGATATGGAAATAAAACTGAAATCTTGAAAGAAACGAAACTGCATTATTAAGAGAAACTTCAGCAAACAATTAACCCATCTGCTTCAACAACCTGTAATTACACTCTACCCACAGAATGTATTTCTGCGTTTCACATGATTATAAGAACAATGATTATTTCCTTAAACAGCATTAACCAGTAGCGTCATGTAACGGAGAAACGGTTTCTTTGCAGTAGGAACTTAATCTCTACACATTATTTATACGAGTTTCTGCTTTAAATAGCTAATGTTAACCACAAACATAATTAAGAATACAAAATAATATAGTAAAATCGACTTTCTAATACTGTGGTCAGACTGGGTATTACTGTATTAGATCACGTATGAAGAATGATTTAAATGTTATAAATTAAACTGAAGACAACGCCACATATTACAGATAGACGATAAAACGGCAAAGCAGAAGCTAGAATACAAACTCCGGTGGAGAAAAAATTCAGGACACCGTATCGATTAAATAATTTTAAATATCCCGCAGATATTTCATGATGAACACACGACACTTACAAACTCTTTACAAGCCAATGAATTAATCTTCCGAAGAACTCACTTTCTGTTAAATAACTCCATGGGGAAAAGTTCTTGTTGAGTTTCTGACAGTCGCTCACCTGTTTAAGAAAGTGAATGCTCCTTATGGAACTTGAGGTCAATTTTCGTCTTCAAAAAATCTTGTAATGTGGCCATGCCCTGAGCCAGACGAAATCAAGACCACGCCTTCTTAATATTTCTATTAAGATACATTTCTTCATCCCCTTATCCTTCATCTCCCTTCCGTCCAGACATTCGTCAGTAATCTTTCAGACGCCCTCAAACTATTATCTTCAGTTAAACCGTAAGACCAGATTTCAACCCCATAAAGAGCACAAGGTAATAATAACTCCCTTGTCACCACAACATGATTTGCTGAAGTCTTGAATCGATTATCAAACACTGAAATAGTTGCCCAAATTCTGCCAGACAGTACAAAATACAAAATACGAGCGCAGAGACAACGTCCCGGTCCACTGCTTGAGAAGAGTTTGCGAGTTCATTTCCCGTCACGCGACTTGTAAATAATTTCGCAATAACACGGTGCTCTGGTCAGATATCCAAGGACATTCTCAACATGCCAGTCAACGGGGCGGAACATCGTACTCCAGGAAGTAAAATTTCTTTACTCCTCATTCTCTCTTCCTTTCTGTCTCTTCTTTATTGCTTTTTTCCCAAAAAACAATTAGAATATAATCGGCTAGTATTTTGCGACTCTCGGACTTTGCTATTTGTGTCAGGAATGTTCCCTCCCAGATAATCACAAGAAACACAGCACGGAACAAAATTATTTAAACAGAAAACAGTAAATGTTCAAGCAGACAGTTTTCCGTTAAATTATGGGCTTGCCTTTCCATTTCCATGCCAAAAGGGTTCCGTTCATTAGAGGTTACACATTAATTTTACTCTTATAGGAATAAGAAGTCTGAGATTTAATCCCACATCCAACCTGGAATAAGCAAGAGAGCATTCTAAGTTACGACTTAGAATAAACAAAAGAGGAACTAAGAGAATGGAGAAAGTTACATAATAACAAGGCTCAGCTTGTATGTCCTTCAAAAATATTCATACGGCAACGATTTAAAAAGGTAGTGGGCAAGGCATGTAGAACACACAGGAAGGAGAAGAATGCATAATTTTTTTCTTGTTTTGGCAAGACTTGTGCGTAAGTGGGAAGATAATATCAAAATTAATCTCTGGGAGAGCTGACAGGATTCCTTTTACTCAGGATAGTATCCTGTGGCTGGGTCTTGTGAACACTGTAATTAACGTTCGCATTCCATAAAAAGGCGGGGAATTTTCTCACTGTTAGTGGACTTTCAGTCCTTTAAGAAGTATTCTACTCGTTAAAATTATTTACTTATTCATTCAGACATACCGTGTATTTTTATGCACATTCGGGTCCCTGAAGAAAGCCTATTAAATAGCTTTGCCAACCCGTCTGTCTGCATGCATGTTAACAACTCGAGAATAGCTAACAAATTTTCATTATATTTTATAGTGCGAATTCTTATTAAAATGTGTCAAAAATTCGAAGTTTGGTTTAAACTGGACGACAGTAACGGGCATTTAATATGAAGACCTACAAGCTTTTTGCACCCCGAAGTGACAGGGTGACAAATCCCCCTGTCATTCACAAAGGTCGGAGATCGGGGTAAATCTAATCCCCCAGTCGAGGACTTCCCCGGCCGTTCAGAAAGGTCAATTTCTGGCTAAAGTGACAGACTTGTTACGCTATGCGTAATTTCCTTACTTTTAAAATATGCACCCTGTTTAAAAAGAAAACCTGTCCCAAACGGAAAAAAAATCATTCAGGTCCCTCGGGACTCCTTAATAAGCAGCTTTTAGATTACAGTCCTTGGGCAGTCGCGCTCAGTCATGAAGTAACTCACTTCATCTTCCTTCCAAGCACGTTTCCAGTTGGTCCCTAGGAACCCTTCTTTCCCTGCTCGAGATGTCTCATGGCAGAAGAGAAGAATGGCTGGTTGTTAACATGTTCGCTCCCATCAGGGTCACGGGTGGATCACGCGAGTAAAAATTTCAGTACAGCGAGAGCCTCTAGTGGGTCACAGGACTATATCGTTTACCGGAGTGAAATGATGTATTTTTAGCGCCACAGCTGGGACAGGAAACATACTTAAAGTTTGTGATAGCCACCGGAATGTCACACGGTTCATGCAGCAAGAGAGTTCTGAATTCTTTTTGTGGGTTGGGATCGGCGATGGGTCAAGGTACGAAATTTATGTCAAGCAAAAATCGCTGATCCACCAGTTTTCACGCATAATCGGCGCTCTAGTTTATATCGAAATCATAAACAGAAATGGCAAATGGCAAAGACGAATTGGAAGTGGCCTGGATTCAAATAGTTCGTCAAAAGATCCCAGAATTTGCCCGGAAGGAGTGAAAATTCTACAAAAATATTTGTAAGCACAGTAGATATCCCGGCCAAAATTCGATCCCAGGTCTTTCGGAGTACATTCAACCGTTATGTCTTGTAAATCACTTTCATAACAGAAAATATCTGGGCACTTTAATTGAATGCAATCCAGATAACACCCCAGCAGGGAATGTAACTGAAAACAGACCGAGCACGCTGCTTTCTTCATTAATTCATTCATGTGTTAATTTGTTGATTTATTAATTTATTTACATATTTATTTTTGCCCTCTTCATTTCTTTCTATTTACTTTCGTTCTTTGTTTTATTTCTTACGAATATTCAAAATTCGCGTCCCTACAGTATTGCTAATAAAATAGCTCCGTCTTTCCGTCTGTACGCATGTAACAACCTGAGAACGACAGCACTGATTCTCATGACATTTGATATGGGGAGTTTTGCTAAAATTTGTCAGTCAATTCCTATTGTTGTTAAAATCAGATGAAAATAAGTAGCATTTTACTTAAAGAACTAAATACGTTTCTGCCCGACCAAGTGACTTGTATGGGAGTCAAAAGGCTACTTTAATTTGCCATCGACGGTTATCTTGGTTATAAATCAAAGGTTAAAATCTGGTGAATGCGCCGAAATTGTTACACTATGCGTGCACATCCTAGCTTTTTTTAAATTAAAAACATTCTGCTTCTGATTCTGGCTGGAGGCCTGGCCTCCTGGGTGTTAAGATTTCCTGACTGTCAAACGACGGCTGGCGAACATTTCATCCAGGCGCGTTGCTATATTCAGATATCTGATGTCTAATTTAATGAACGGCTGTATTTTTAATCAGACAATTAAAAATACATTCTTTAATTAAATTGTTTCTCACACACAGAAAACTCTAATTATAGCAGACAAACGGGGCCGAGATTTATATTCTGACGGATTTTCGAGCTTCGGAGTCACAACACATAAATTCAGTACTGCATCGGTTTACTGAGTACGAGACATTCCAGTGGGACCCGCTCCAGAGCCAGCTCAAATGCTAGACTTAGTAAAATTTTGAGAACAGCAATCACAATTCAGAGTATCGTGCCTCATTTGATTATATTTAGGCTGTGTTTACGTATTTCGACATACCACCCATATAAAATTTGTTTACTTACGTGGTTACTTGACAACTTTTACGAAGAAGCTCTTTGAATTTGGTCCCAGACCTGAAGTTCCTTCCTAGTACTTGCCAGGGTATCCAAATATTCACCATAACCAACCACAAGATTGACAGTAAAATTACGGTGCATGAATCAGTTACCAGACAAGAGGTATGGTTCCTTCGAGAACAAGTCCTGCTCCGTTTGATCAATATTAGGCCTTCTACTTCATTATAGAAACAGTAACAGAAGCGCATCGAATTGCAGTTCGGTTTGTAACATCTCAAGAATATTCTTTGGGTTTATATTCCGAAAGATATTATTAATCTCACGTCGTTTGCAGCCAAAATCGGTTGAGCAAATCATAAACACCATGCTAACTAACGAATGATCGATTTTGGTTTATTGCCGATTTACTTTTAACTTGTCCCATGAAATTAATATATGAGAACACATACACTTTTCGATAATTTGCTAAATAAAGGGGTATCTAAAGGAACGGTTGTCAAATGAGGTGACATGTGATTCTGTGTAGTTACCAACGTACCGCTTCCATCAAGGTGAAGCTGGTAACCACCGACAGGACAATACGGCGACAGAACCCAAAAGGTCATAACCGACAAGATTTAAGGAGCTATCAAAATACGATCCTAATGCAGATACTTTCTGTACACCGTCAATAAATTCATATGTTGAACACGTCAAATAATTGACATTTCTGCATCTACAACAGTGCTGTTTAAAATTACATGTAAACTAATTCTAATTTCTTGGTGCATGAATGTTCTGATGGCAGAATCCTTGGTCTAGAATGCCATCGTCAAATCATTGTTACAGAACTTACTCTTGGCTTTTATTTCCTCACACCCACTCACTCAGAAACTTCACATCTGCAATGATCTGCTGCAACCAAAGCATATATGTTTTCAAACTATTTCAGAAAACTTTAGACAATTTCTTACCTCCACCTCACAAAATGTTGTTGCACAATTTCATGAACCCGTACTATGAAGCAGGATAGTGTCGAACCTGCATTACAACTTCACATTGCTAATCGCACGGCTAGCATTCTTCCACAAACGTGTATACACCTGTCTCACGTGTACAGCCCACTAAAACCAAATGGCCGCGCGTACTCTGAACTCTTGCCGCAAAGCTATAACTTCGCTACCCGTTTCGCCATCTTACGTGAAATAGACACACTACATTAGAGAGTTTCAATAAACACTGAAGATGTCGTACATGTATATGAATATGTTCCTTACATGTAAAAACCTGTGTGAACAATTTTAGCTTTTATTATTGCAACAGGAGGAAAAAAGGAAAGAACAGAAGCAAACAACCGTAACATCTTCATGTTACTTCTAAATTAAAACATTTAATGGGTATCGAGCCAGAAATGTTCAATGAAATAACAAGGAAAGATAACGCATTCATCCACTTTCTGAGCCATAGGCTTATATGTTGTATTGGAGTTTGCGATTATTAGCTCTCGTATCCGCCACCAGAGTGCACGGAAAGTTGATTAGCATAAAAAAATACAAATTTTGACAATTTATGTTTTCACTGCGTTACAAAGTCACCATTATCACCGACATAAAAACACGAAATATGGCCACATTTGTCCTTATTACTTCGTAACAGAAAGAGGCGATACATTCCTCTGAAACCTTGGAGACTACTTAAAAACTACAAAGCATCACAACCTTAAGTATGTTAATTTAATCCATGGAGCCGGAAAGCAACATGACCCCGATCTTTTAAATTCTTAAAATATTTAAAAATGAAACAAAAATGTGATATTAACAATGACAGCTCATACTAAACACATAGGCTTAATTTGGGTCAATGGATTAAAAATGACACAAAATAAATTATGAAACATCATACATATAATAATACTTAGGGTTACACTTTTTTGGAAGAACAGAGGATCCAAAATCCTACATGTCACAGGCACCACGTTTTTTACTTGCTATTTTCTTGACACCTTATTCTGGAGTGGCTTAGAACTGATCATAAATGGGGTGGCGGAATACACTGTACCCAATGACAAAAACACTTATCATCTACCAAAAGAATTTCTAAATACCTCACAAACCATTGCTCAATCCTTTTGATACCAGTGGGTTTTGAAAAAATACACACAGTACGCTGATGTGATTGTCATATAGCAAATTAATGGTGAAAGTATCTACTTCAGCATCAGAGACTGATTCCCAACATAAGTTTATTTTGAAAGACAATTTCTGAAATAATGTAAATTTAAAGTAAATATTTTGGGTTTTAATACTAATAAATATTGCTTTCTCATTCTGCCAACTTGTTTCTCCAATTTAATCACAAAATAAACTGGAATAAACGTAATGAAAGAATAAAATAAATTATAATATATCAACCTGCAAGAAAAAAGACCACCAACAAAGATACTGTTTTGTGATTGTCATAACAAAGATACATCAATAAAATCAATAATATTAATCTATGTCATTTAATACAGTCAGTGCTACATAACCTCCACAGCTGTTATGAATATACCACTGATACAGATATTTGGAAAACTCGCCACACTTCACAATTTAAACATAGTGAGCTACTTGAGGTGTTGTAATTACCTGGGTGGCTGTATTACATTAGTAAAACAAGTAAGTAACATGAATAATAATCGACAAAAACAAACACAATCAATAAAACATAAGAGAACACAATGAATACACAGCTAAATCTGTAAAGCTGGCTACACTAAAAAACATTAAAAAAACAATTAATTTAAATCTCCTAATCTTGCATTAACAGTCAAATACAATCAGTTTATAAGAGTTATCTCTGTCACATTTAAAACTGTAGTCATAACAAAACCTGTATTTAAAATTCTGAGCTGTACGAGCATCAGCTGAGAAATTTTGATATCTACAACTGTCCCACAAATGCGACTGCAAATTTTTCATAAACTGGGTATTTTGATCTGTATTTTGTTGAGAAAAATTTGCCCTTATCTGCCATTACAGAAATTCATACAGCCATTTTTTGGGTTTATACAATATCATTTTGCAGTATTACATGGTAAAGAAACTGTTAACTGATTGATCATTCAAGGAAATGAAAAAGACAGTTGCATGAATCACCTACTGACACAAGATCGCCTGAGATTTTATTGCATATCGTCTTGCGAATAATTTAATTTGCTTCCGAGTGTTTATAAATCTACTTCACTTAAAGTAAGCGCTTATGACTGCATCAGAGACAAAAAAGTATTTGTATTAATCCAAATATTTTAATAAACTAACATCTGAAAAAAACACTGAATATTTTATAATTGCGAACAAGACTTAGCACCTTACTGGGGCAAATGCTTACGTCACAATTAGTAAAATAAACCCGATGTTTTCAGTGTGGATTGTTTCACTGTCAACAGCATGAAAAGGTGTGGACAGCCAAAGTGTATGTGATATTTCAGAAATCTAAATCGAAAGGAGAGTCGTCGTCCGCGTGACAAAACAGTATTTGTAGGAAAACAAAACAGTTTTATTTGTTCGGAGTGAGATCAAGTCAATCTGGTGGAGGAGGATGTACCAAACCCTGTCACCATGTTATATACAGCATTTTTATCGACACATTCAGAACCATAACAAGCAAATTACAACGTAATCTATCCTCTGTTAACCAACTTAAGTACAAATATTATTTATTGTGTATATAAATTACGGCTGAAATACATTAAAAAAACATTTACAAATTTAAGGAATTTTGCAATAAAATTTAGCAGCAGAAGTGAAGTTTATATGGTGTTATGAAACAAACCAGAACCAGAATATCATATAAGACTTGAAGGTCAAAACACAAGAAAAATTTAAGAAAATATTAATACAATGGTATAGTCATGCGTTACACACAGGAAATAATAGCATTCCGTTAAGAACATCACGAATTAATGCATTAAATAAACAAACTATGGGGAGACCAAGAAAATGGTGGAAAGAA